TCTTTAATTAAAATCTAAAACTTTTTACTGTTGAATTTTCCGAAAGGAAAAACATCCAAACAGGAATGCGAATAAAAGAAGCAGAAAAGGCAAAATCGACTAATTTTTAATTTATTCTTTCAATTTTTTTTTCTTTTTTTTTTCAACCGATCCGGAGATATAAACAAAAACATTAAGCTTAAGCATGTGTATATATGCTCTGTTTTATAAGCTTTATGCACTTTGGCCCTATATTATATTTTTATCCTCCATCTTTTAAAAAATATCTTAATTATATTTTACTCTCAACTTTTTTCTTTTAAAAATAATTATTTAAAAAGATGATTGTTTTTTACTTGTTGGAATTCTGATAATGTTGGCCATCTAACAAAATGACCATTTAAAAAATCTTTTTTTTTTTTGAAAATTAAACTAAAATAAACATGAGACTTTAATCTTATTTTTTTAAAAAATAATAATTTATAAATACATTGCTTTTGCAAAAAGATAGTTTGCGGCCAAATCCTCCATGGAAGTTCGAATTCCCTCCCTAACTTGTTATATCAAAAAAACTATTTCTAATTTRTCAATATATAAAAATGGGATAAAAGTAATTAATAATTAAAAAATAGATGAACGGAAAATTATCATATTTGTAAATTATTTTTTGGTATGACATATTTGCACCTAAGCCAACTAGTTTTGTCACACATCGAAATATTTCTTTAATAAAATCTGATCTTTAAATTCTTACACATTTTCTATTCTAATTCTGACAACTTTACATTAGGGAAAAAAAAAAACTATCTGTACTCCTATTGTTAATATTTTTTTATTAATTTTTTCAGCATAAAGTCTTGATTCCTTTCAAAACCCGACCCAGCATCTACGAAACATTTACCTTCAAAGTTCAAACACTGTGTGACAATTGCGTCTTAAATAAATGAGAAAACAAAAAAAGAAAATGAAATTGATAAATATAAACGAAGGGGGAGTGAATTGGAATTTTGTTTTGTTTGGTATGGCTTGTGGTCGTCGTGGATGAGTCAATGCGGTGGAATGTTTAAAAAGGAATGAAATTTCCACTTTATTCCTTGAAAACGGAGCCGTTTTCCATATTTCCATGAAGCGGCAGCGTGATTCACAAGCCCCCTCGTGACGTCATACCAAGTACGTATGCAGAAAAAGTTTTTTGACTCCACGCTAAACGGCCGATTATCATATCTTGTGGGGCCTCATTTTTATAAAGGGAATTAGTACGGCAATTTTGAAATTATAATTGTATAAAATGATTGAAATATCTACCATACAAATTACTATCATACAAATTATTAATACATCCTTTTGTAATATTAAATAACTTTGAAAATCACATAATGATAAATTGGAAGGTTACAACTTAAATCACTTAAAATTTGCTTAATTGGTAAAATATTAAAACCACAAAAATCCTCAAAATCATCCATTTTCGAAAAATTTGAAACCCCTTCCCCCGACTATTCTGCTTTCTCTGTTTTTCGTCTTTGGCCGACCGTCTTTGACCGACCGTCTCTGCATTCCTTCGTCGTCTGGGTGCCTCCTTCTCTGATTGTCGTATCCGTTCTTCTTATCTCGTCGTCGTCTTCATTATTCTTATTCAAAAACTCGCCGTTTCCGTCCTCTCCTTCGTCTACGGTCGTCGTTCCTTCATCTTCGGTCCCTCTCCATTACCGAAGCAAATAGTTTTCTCTTTCAGATTTGTACAATGTTGAAAACCTTTTTTTTTCGAGGGTTGTAGTTGGAGAGTGAGTTGCTAACAGTGATTTTAGGAAGTTTATATGAAATTTAGTTTATATTCGGATATATGTAAGGAGAGGTTAGTGAAGACCTGCACCCCTCAATAAGTGGAATGGTGGGAAATATAGAACAAGAGAGAATGATTTGGATATTTTTGTAATTAATAATATTGGTAAATCAAGAGAATCAACCTTTTTGAAATTGAATGAAGGGATTAGTGTTGAAAATTTGTATGAGATCCACAATAATTAAAGTACTATAATAATAATTTATGGAATTAAATATTTTATATTTCTAAAAAAATCCAAATAACTATAATAAATGTAAATGCAATAAATAAGGATAAAATCGAAATTAAAATAAAACCCTACCTACATTTAGTAAAGAAAAATAAAACATTTAACATCCACATTTAGTTTATGCAAATACAATAATTAAAGAAACATTGAAGTTGGATTTGTAAAAGGTCAAATTTATCCCGAAAGACCAAAACATTAATAGCACTGATGTATGTCTGATATATACTTAATATATCTATTATTTACTATTGATATACCATTAATATAAAACCAATTTATTTATGGTATCTACTAATTACTTCTGATATGATTATATGATTTATCATTGACTTATCACTAAAATAATATTGATATGTGTCTGATATATAGTTGATACAGATTTACCACTGATATATTTATGATATAACTATGATATATGTGTTTGATATATACTTCTGTGTTTTGATACTCTTCTAATATATCTACTAATTATTTTTTAATGATATCACAATTATATCTAAGGTATACTTATGATATACTACTGATTTACTACTAATATTGTAGACGCCGTTATTGGTCCGGCTATTTTTATTATTATTATTTTTAAATATCTTCATTAAAAAAGATTACTTTATTATTGTTTATAAGCTAAAGTTTTAATTTAATTTTTTTAAAAAAGTTTTGTTTTAAAAATTTTGATTTTATTAATAAAATTACAAATTAAAAAATAAAGATTTTATTTTTTATATTAACTGTTTTTTTTCTTTCCCTCCCTTTGATTTTTTCTTGGTCAAGGTTCTACAGGTGTCATGCTTTACGTTTTCCCTTCTTTTTTTTCTCTCTGGTTTTACTTAACTCACGCATGTTACTGTTATTTTATTTGTGTATTTAAGGGACACATAGAGGCACACAGAAGGGAAAAAGGAGAGGAAATTTGAGGCTTTCATCGCTCCCCTACCTTCTCCTCTCATCTTCTTCATAATTCCTCCATACACTACCCCCTGTACTTCTCAATCCATTTTCTTTACCATCCTGGACCACAAAAGTTTGAYGCGCTCAAATTTACCAATTATTGTGTTCTAGCCTACTCCTCCTCCACGCCTCAATTTCATCATCGTCGTCGGAATTGGCGATTCTATATGCGGGATAGCTACGTAACGTCTCCGTGTTTGGTCGGTCGATCGATCTCGGTTTTTATTCTCCTTCCTAAAGACGGCAGTGTGCTTGATTGGCGCGAGTAGAGACGATAGGCTTGCTTCTGGTGGCACAATCCAATGGTACAGTGAAATCCAGGATACTTCTTTTTAATAAAGATTTTATTTATTTATTTTTTCTTTCTTTAAAAAAAATTATCTTCTGCACAGATTTAAGAGGAGGAAGTAAAAAGATTTGAAGATAATCTTTTAGTTTTTAAAAATACATGATTGAAATCTTTTTAAATTTGTTAATTATTCTTTGGGGAACCTCAACAAATAAAAATCTATTTTAAATAAAACATTTTGTTGAATTAAGAAATAAAGTTTTCTTTCAAAAATCTCTTTAATTTCGAATTAAATAAAATTTTTGTTTTTATTATTTTTGTTTTTTTGTTTTAATTTAATAAAATTCGTTTTTTTAGTTTTTAAAAATAAATTAAAAACGTTATTGTTTAAAAGAATATTATGTTTACATCTTAAGATGTTGGTACAGTGGTAAGATGTTCATTTTTCAATGTACATGATCCAAGTTCGAGCCTTTCCATGCCTTATTTTTACTAAATAATTATTTTAAATAAAATATTCCATTTAGAGTTAGTTTTTCGTAAACGTCACGAAAGGTTGAGGCGCGTTTTTGGAGGGAAATGACGTAGTGTTCCGAATTTTTGACTTTTTGTGACGTTTTTCTAACCGTCACGAAATGGTCGTCAAAAATTTGTTTTTTTGTGACGTTTAAAAAATGTCACAAAAGGTTGAGGCGCGTTTTTTGGCGGGAAATGACGGAGTGTTCTGAATTTTTTACTTTTTTGTGACGTTTTTCTAACTGTCACGAAATGGTCGTAAAAAAGTTGTTTTTCGTGAGGTTTAAAAGACATAGAGAAAAAATAGATAAAAAAAGTAATTAATTAACTTATAGATATTTGAACCTAATTTGATGGAATATACTATTTTTTTAGGGATGGTTAGAATTTAAGTTAACAAAACCTAAAATTTATCTGGTAGAAATTCACACTAAGTAAATTTTGAATCCCATTAAAAATAAATATTATTTTTATATTTCTATTTCATTTTAAAAGAAAAAATATTTAGGAATTGGTCAATTTCCATTATTTTATATTAGTCTTTCACCCTAAATGTAACCCCCTGCATTCTCGGGTTAGTTTGCTTTTAAGATTTAATTTGTGCTTTCGGTTTTTTCACTAAGCTGATAATTTAAATCCTTCGATTTTCTAAATTCAGCGATAAATTTAGTTAGCTAATTTTACAAAAAGAATTTTAATCAAGTCTTAATTCAAAGTTTTGGAAATTTAATTTTTCCTTTTAGATTTTATTCTTCTTTTTTTTTAAATTAAATTATTCTCTTAAATCCTTTCCGAAACACTTTTTATTTTAATTGGATTTTTAATTTTAGAAAGAGATTAGGAAAGTTCTATTCCTCCTAATTTTTTAGAAAATTAGTCTATGGGTGGTTTATCATGGATTGGTTTCTTTTGTTAAATAAAAGAAAAGAAAAACAAAAAAAAAGGGAAACAAAATTAAATTGAAAATGTAAAACCTATTTCTTCTCCCCCAGC